TCAATTTTCAGCACCACATATAAATAAAATTAATAAAAGTCCATCAACATCTAAAACAATTTTAAAGAAGCTGATTGAAAATGTCTGCACAATTTCACTAATGCAATTATGGGGGTAGTAGAGTTATTGAACATATTGAGAAATTAGATATCATTGATAGTAAAATTACTATTATATAGTGGTTAAACCATGAATACTTCAAAAATTTGCAAATTATCCTTGTGCAGGACCATGCAATTTTCCCTATCACTCCAATTTTAATATAGTTGGTTTTTTTTCAGCATTTGAAATATGTTCCTGGTATAGAGTGCTTGCCTAGCATATGTTCTGGGTTCAATCTCCAGAGCTTCCTGCCAGAAATGTTGTTCCATAGTTTCCTATCTTGTTTAATTTTTAATGAAAAGTTTTATGCCTTCCCCTGCCCCTGGCTACTTTTGATGTCTGAACTTTATTTTTATCATCAGCTTTTCACCAATTCAGTTAATAATGATTCTTAATACTGTGTGTGTGTGTGTCCTGTGTTCAAGCTTCCTGAGATTCATTAAGCATCTTGGATGTGCTAACGTATGATTTTCATCAAAAAAATTAAAACTTTTTGTTTCTTTAAATATTTTTTCTGTTCCTTGCAACTTTTTAGGACTTTGTTTACACATATAATACTGCTTGATTATAATTCTGCTTGATATTGCCTTCCAGGTCTTTGTTATATATACCTTGTTATTTTTTTATGTCATTATATCCATATTTCATTTGGGGATACATACATGAACACTTGTACATGTATGAATGTATATGTGTGTGTGTGTATATATGTATATACACACATATATGAATATTTATATTCATTTGTGTGCATGTTTTGTACTGGGATTTGAACCCAGGGTCTCATATGTGATAGATAATCGCTCTAACACTAAGCAACTCCATATTCCTTTTTTTTAATTGATTTTTTAAAAAATGACAGCAGAATGCATTACAATTCTTATTATGCATATATACCACAATTTTTCATATCTCTGTTTGTATATAAAGTATATTGATACCCAATTCATGTCTTCATGCATGTACTTTGGATAATGATGTCTATCACATTCCAACATCCTTGTTAATCCCCTGCCCCCTCCCTTTCCCTCCCATCCCTCTTCCCTATTTAGAATTCATCTAATCCTCCCATGATCCCCCTCCCTATACCACTATGAGTTGGCCTCCTTATATCAGAGAAAACATTTGGCATTTTTTTTTGGGGGGGGGATTGGCTAACCTCACTTACATTATCTTCTCCAACACCATCCATTTACCTGCAAATGCCATGATTTTATTCTCTTTTATTGCTGAGTAAAATTCCATTGTGTATATATGCCACATTTTTTTATCCATTCATCCACTGAAGGGCATCTAGGTTGGTTCCACAATTTAGCTGTTGTGAATTGTGTTACTGTAAACATTGATGTGGCTGTGTCCCTGTAGGATGCTGGTTTTAAGTCCTTTGAGTATAGACAAAGGAGAGGGATACCTGGGTCAAATGGGGGTTCCATTCCCAGATTTCCAAGGAATCTCCATACTGCTTTCCATATTGGCTGTACCAATTTGCAGTCCCACCAGCAAGGTATGAATGTGCCTTTTTCCCTACAACCTTGCCAGCACTTATTATTGTTTGTATTCTTAATAGCTGCCATTCTGACTGGAGTGAGATGATATCTTAGAGTAGTTTTGATTTGCATTTCTCTAATTGCTAGAGATACTGAGCATTTTTTAATATATTTATTGATTGATTGTATAACCTCTTTTGAGAAATGTCTGTTCAGGTCCTTGGCCCATTTGTTGATTGGGTTATTTGTTTTTTTCATGTTAAGCTTTTTCTTAAAGGATTTTTTCTTTTTTTCAGAAGATTTATCACTGACATACAGAAATTTTTTCTTTTTATCAGAGGATTTGTCACTGATATACAGAAATTCCTTTGATTTATGGGTGTTGATTTTATATCCTGCTACTTTGATGAATTCATTTGCTAGTTCTAGAAGTTTTTCTTTACATACCCTAGAGATTAGTGCTCTATCTGATGTGTGAGGGGTAAAAATTTGCTGCTAGGATGTAGGCTCTCTGTTCACCTCACAGATTGTTTCTTTGGCTGAGAAGAAACTTTTTAGTTTGATTCCATCCCATTATTGATTCTTGGTTTTAATTCTTGTGCTATAAGTGTTTTATTAAGGAAGTTGGGGCCTAATCCCACATAATGAAGATTAGGGCCTACTTTTTCTTCTATTATACGCAGAGTCTTTGGTTTAATTCCTAGGACCTTGATCCACTTTGAGTTAAGTTTTGTGCATGGTGAGAGATAGGGGTTTAATTTCATTTTGTTGCATATGGATTTCTAGTTTTCCCAGCACCATTTGTTGAAGATGCTGTCTTTTCTCCAGTGCATGTTTTTGGCAGCTTTGTCTAACATAAGATACTTGTAATTTTGTGGATTAATCTCTGTGTCCTCTATTCTGTACCATTGGTCTACCAGTCTGTTTTGGTGCCAATACCATGCTGTTTTTGTTACTATTGCTGTGTAGTATAGTTTAAGATCTGGTATAGCGATGCCACCTGCTTCACTCTTCCTGCTAAGGATTGCTTTAGCTATTCTGGGTCTCTTATTTTTTCAGATGAATTTCATGATTGCTTTTTCTAATTCTATGAGGAATGCCATTGGGATTTTGATCAGAATTGCATTAAATCTGAATAGTGCTTCTGGAAGTAAGGTCATTTTGATAATATTAATTCTGCCTATCCAAGAGCAAGGTAGATCTTTCCATCTTCTAAGGTCTTCTTTGATTTTTCTCTTTAGGGTTCTATAGTTTTCATTGTATAGATCTTTCACCTCTTTCGTTGATTCCCAAGTATCTTTTTTTTTTTTTTTGAGGTTATTGTGAACGGGATAGTTTTCCTCATTTCCTTCACACAGGATTTGTCACTGATTTACAGAAATGCCTTTGATTTATGGATGTTGATTTTATATCCTGCTTCTTTGCTGAATTCATTTGCTAGCTCTAGAAGTTTTCTGGTGGAATTTTTTTTGGGTCTTCTAGGTATAGAATCATATCATCAGCAAATAGTGATAATTTAAGTTCTTCTTTTCCTATACATATCCCTTTAATTTTTTTCATCTGTCCAATTGCTCTGGCCAGTGTTTCAAGAACTATGTTGAATAGAAGTGGTAAAAGAGGGCATCCCTGTCTTGTTCCAGTTTTTAGAGAGAATGCCTTTAATTTTTCTCCATTTAGAATGATGTTGGCCTGAGGTTTAGCATAGATAGCCTTTATGATGTTGAGATATGTTCCTATTATCCCTAGCTTTTCTAGTGTTTTGAACATAAAGGGGTGCTGTATTTTGTCAAATGCTTTTTCTGCGTCTATTGAGATGATAACATGATTCTTAAAGATATCTTTAAGTCTATTGATGTAATGAATTACATTTATTGATTTTTGTATGTTGAACCAACCTTTCATCCCTGGGATGAATCCCACTTGATCATGGTGCACAATCTTTTTGATATGTTTTTGTATTCGATTTGCCAGCATTTTATTGAGAATTTTTTTGCATCTATGTTCATTAGAGATATTGGTCTGAAGTTTTTTTTTTCTTCAATGTGTCTTTGCCTGGTTTTGGGATCAGGGTGATATTGGCCTCATAGAATGAGTTTGGAAGTGCTGCCTCTTTTTCTATTTCCTGAAATAAATTGAAGAGTATTGGTATTAGTTCTTCTTCTCAACTGTGTGTCCATCTGGTCCTGGGCATTTCTTGGTTGGTAAGCTTCTAATGATGTCTTCTATTTCATCAGTTGATATTGGTCTGTTTAAATTGTGTATATTTTCCTAATTCAATCTGGGCAAATCGTATGCTTTGAGAAATTTGTCAATGCCTTTGATGTCTTCTATTTTATTGGAGTATAAGATTTCAAAATAATTTCTAATTATCCTCTGTGTTTCTGTAGTGTCTGTTGTGATATTACCTTTTTCATCAAGTAGCTGGTAATTTGAGTTCTCTCTCTCTCTTTCTCTTCATTAGCGTGGCAAGGATCTGTCAATTTTTTTTTTTTTTTTTTTTTTTTTTTAATAAGGATCTGTCAATTTTATTTATTTTTTCAAACAACCAACTTTTTGTTTTTTCAGTTTTTTCAATTGTTTCTTGTTTTTATTTCATTGATTTCAGTTCTAATTTTAATTATTTCTTGCCTTCTACTGCTTTTGCTGCTGATGTGTTCTTCTTTTTCTAAGGCTTTGAGATGTAGTGTGAGGTCATTTATTTGTTGACTTTTTCTTCTTTTAAAGAATGAACGCCATGCAATGAATTTTCCTCTTAGTACTGCTTTCATAGTGTCCCAGAGATTTTGATATGTTGTGTCTATATTCTCATTTACTTCTAAGAATTTTTTAATCTCCTCCTTGATGTCTTCTGCAACCCATTGTTCCTTCAGAAGCATATTGTTTAGTCTCCAGGTGATGGAGAAATTTTTATTTTTTATTTTGTCATTGATTTCCAATTTCATTCCATTATGATCTGATAAAATACATGGTAGTATCTTTACTTTTTTGTATTTGCCAAAAGTTGCTTTGTGGCATAGTATATGGTCTATTTTAGAGGCAGGGTTCTAGGTCCCCACAATCATACTAAGAAGTCTTCCACAGATTTTTCTCTAGAACCCTGCCTTGTCCTTATCCCCTTCACTTTATTCTCAGGCCACTATTGCTTTCCCAATGTCAGAAAGGTTGTAAATAGGGAAGCTACTCTTTTCCCATCACTAGTATGATTATAACATGAAAGATTGATCCCTGGGCCAGAAAAATATTGATATTGAGGTGTAAATGACTGGTTCTTAGGCCTTTGTTGAGATTTGTGAGAGAGTAAAGAGTCCTAGAAAGACTTTGAACCTTGAAAGGCTTTCTGGGGATTCTGTCTGACAGGATGGCTAAGTTTAGAATGTCTACCCCTTCCCACTTATCTCCCTCTACCTACAGTTTTGATCATGTGCCTTATCTCATGCATGACTATGACCTGAGACGAACAACCAATATCAAGGAAGTTCTGCCTGAAGATGCCTTTAAACACCCTGCCTTTTTCACTTGGGATTTTCTAAAGACTCTAAATGCTGGTAAATGGTTTATAAAACCAGAGGTAAGACACATTCCTCAGTTCTATAAACTTGGATTGTATTCCTGTTTTGTTTGAATTAATTTGTTGCCCCTGGAGATAAAGGTAAAGATAGACAAGTGTACACACAATTTCATCCTAGTTTGGTAGCAGGGTGAAGGGCTTTTCTGGTAATGCAGTGAGTCTGATTGCTGCTCTCTACATTCACAGAAAGTCTGAAAATAACCTTGTAAACTTATTCTTGTCATTTAATTCCTATTTACACAAGTATTTTATAAACTTTGATAGTGTGCCCACTGTGTATGTAGTATTTTCTTAGGTATTTTGAATAGCTCACCGTCTTATATATTATGCAGACTGAGAATCATATTTATACTTTGTAGAAGACTTTTTTTTTTCTTTTGGTGATATGAGGATTGAACCTGGGACTCTGCCACTGAGCTATTTTCCCAGCCTGGAAACATATTTATTCTTGATTCCTTCTTTCTATTCAACAAATAGATATTGAGTACCTACTGGGTACTAAGCATATGAAATATAATGATGAATAAGCATACCTCCAGCCCTAATGCAGTTCACAAGGTAAGTGTAAACACAAAATTATGATACATTGTGATAAGTGCCAATCTAGAGTTAATTTCAGTTTTTTCAGGAACATGCAAGAATAATTTCTAGTTCGGTTTGAGGGATGAGGATGGCTGATTCTGGAAGGAGTAGGCTACTAATGGGTATAGTAAAATATAAAGCCTGTACTGTGTAAAATGTAGTTTTGAAGCAAGAGTTGAGTAGTTCGCCTTGAGGAAGTCAAAGAATGCAGAGATACCATTTGTGCTAAGGGGAGATCATTACTAAAGAGAACTATGGGCAATGGTGGTGATGTGTTTCAGAGGTTACATTATAGAGTGTGTGCGTACACGTGTGTTTGTATGTGTGTGGGGGGAGATACATAGATAGAGAAGGAAGGGATAGGGATAGGGAATAGTTTAGGAAAAGAATCAGGAAAACATGTTGATGGAAGATTATAGCAATTCTTAAATAAAAAGTTCTTAAATAACAAGTTAGCTTAGAATTATCTTTTGAGTGTTTTGTTTTTAGGGTTATTTTGTTCATTTTTGTTTTTGTTTCCTTTTTGTGGGTCTGGGGATTGAATCCAGGAACCACTGAGCTGAATCTCCAGCACTTTTTATCTTTTTATTTTGAAACAGGAGCTCTCTAAATTGCCCAGGTTGGCCTCAAACTTGTCATCCTTCTACCTTAGCCTCCCAAGTAACTGGGATTACCAAAGTGTGCGCCACTGCACCCAGTCCTTTGGGGTATTTGAAAATGGGTAAAAAGTCAGATTTTCATTTTATAAAGATCAAATCTGTCTTCTCAGGATAAAGAAAACAAAACAACTTATATTTTCTAGTCTATCTTATAGCTAGGGATAATACATGTGACATAGGTTCTGCCCAGATACACTCAAATTTGAGACTGATTTTGAAAATAGACATTTCACTATGATAGATATTAGGCATCCATATTGATAGCACATGTGACAATAGAGATACCAGAGTATGTGGGGTGTATCAATTGTGGTAATAACTCCCTTATCAGGTAGCTGTAAATAAAGAAAAAATATTAAGGTTTTTAAAAATGGTGTACTAAGAGTGAAATGGAATTTTATTTAAGTTTGATGTTAATCTTGAAAGTTATTTGATTGTGTTTCACACAAAAATAGTGAAAAGTTAGTGAAGCATTATGTTAAAATAGACTTTAGAGACTCCACTTCAGATTTTTTCTACTAGCTAGTGTTAATATAAGAGATAGTTTCAAGTAGATTTATAATAACCATAGCTCCTTAAAATATTTGTTCTCATAGGAGTACATAGCCTATAAATGCTGTTTCCTTATGTGTAGATAATGGGGTTTCTCTGATATTCCAGGTTTCTATGCATATGTAGGCCATGTAATATGTCTCATCATACATGAATACATGAACACATAAAATCTAGATATATACATCAGCATACATATATTGGATTAGCTAGCCATAATTGATGTTTTGGCAATGGGTATTGTAGATGAAAGGGCTGTTAGATATCTGATGTATGATGTATTGCTTATAAAAGTCTCATTAGGATTTTAAGAATTAAATTTACTTTTAAAATTGAGCCAATGTTTCATCATTCTGAGATTTTTGATGGAGTAGTAGTTTGATGAATGAATGGCTGATGATTTTAGTTAATATGTGATTTTTCTTGTTGGTTCTTAGAACTAGAGTCTCTCTTTTATAGAGACAATAATAGTCATTTTTCTTGTCAGTGGTCATGGTTAGATACCATATAGGAACTAGAATATTTAATATTTTAATTAAATATAATGTTTCATTATATTGTTAGTGTGCTAATGAGGAATATCCTGAAATCAGGGATTCAAATAAGATTATTTGGGGGACTTTAGGTTTGTTTGAGGTGCTTTCTTTGTTTTCATACTGTGTGGTCAGCAGGTGGTTGAAAGGATATTATCATATGATTTAAATGATTTCATGGTTGGGTAATTTTTACAGCAAAGAACTTAAAAATAAAGATTATTCTGATGATTATTGGCATAGGTATGATTAATTGATGATGGTTATAAATTAGTCATTATTCATTAGTATATTTATTGTTCTTGAGATTACTTGTGAAAATCAGTCTGCGTGGTAGTAACCTTTTTGTTACTGTAACAAATATCTGAGGTAATCAACTTTAATGAGAAAAGGTTTATTTTGGCTCACAGTTTTAGTGGTTTCAGTCCATGATCAATTGGCTCTGTTGGTTTGGGCCTGTGGCAAGGCAGCACATCATGGTGGGAAACATGTGGCAGAGCAAAAACATTCACCTTATAACTGTGAAGTAAAAAGGAAAAAGAAGAAGGGACTGGATCCCACAATTCCCTTCAAGGTGTACCCTGCAGTGACCTGAGACCTCCCACAGGATCTCTGTCTCTGAAAGATTCCACCACTTCCCAATAGTACCACTCTAGGTGAAAAAGCTTTTAACACATGGGGCTTCAGAGGACATTCCAGATCCAATCTGATGGATAATGAAATAAGAATAAATACAAAAAGTCTGGGAGTTGTTCCTAAAAGCTCAGCCAAATTCCTGTTTCTTTTTTTGTTTGTTTTATTTTTTTATTTATACATGACAGTAGACTGTATTGCGGCAAATTATACCTACATAGAGTATAACTTATTTTAATTAGGATCCTATTCTTGTGGTTGTACATGATGCAGATTTACTCTGACTGTATATTCAAATGCAAGGCTAGGAAAGTTATGTCCAATTAATTCTACCATCCTTCCTATTCCCCTCTCCTTCCTTCCCTTGTTCCCCTTTGTCTAATCCAATGAATCTATTCTTCCCCTCTCCCCACCCTCCCTTGTTTTGGGTTAGCTTCCACATATCAGAGAGAACATTTGGCCTTTGCTTTTTGGGGATTGGCTTATTTCACTTAGCATGAAAGTCTCACTTCTATTCATTTACCAGCAAATGCTATAATTTCATCCCTCTTTATGGCTGAGTAATATTCCATTATGTATGTATACCACATTTTATTTATCCATTCATCCATTGACGAGCACCTAGGTTGTTCCCATAGCTTGGCTATTGTGAATGGAGCTGCTATGAACATTGATGTGGCTGTGTCATTGTAGTATGCTGATTTTAAGTCCTTTGGGTATAGACCAAGGAGTGGGATAAGTGGCTCAAATGGTGGTTCCATTCCAAGTTTTCTAAGGAATCTTCATACTGCTTTCCATAGCGGTTGCACCAGTTTGCAATCCCACCAATAATGTATGAAAGTACCTTTCTCCCCACATCCTCGCCAACATTGATTGTTACTTGTATTCTTGATAATTGGCATTCTAACAGGAGTGAGATAGAATCTTAGTGTAGTTTTAATTTGCATTTCACTAATTACTAAAGATGTTGAACATCTTTTCATATATTTTTGACCATTTGTATTTCTTCTGTAAAGTGCTTGCAAATTCCTGTTTCTTCAGCCCAACCAACATTTGTGGAATTCTTGTATTCATTAGGAAAGTTTCATTTTCACAATGACACAGATACAATATTCTTACAAATAACATGAGTCCAGCTTTTGTTTTAGCACATTAATGAGGAACTAGGCAGGATGTCAAACCCACTCAAAAGAGAAGTAAGAAATCAACCAGTGGAACAAAGAAAATCTGAAATTAGATTGCTAAGTTAGACACATACTTGGTTAATATACTAAATGCCAAAAAAGTCATAATTTGAGGGGTTGACTTCCACAAAAGAAATCATTCACATTGTTATTAGACAAAAATCATTTTTGTTTTCATCAGTTTCCTCAATAACATCTAACTTTACATAATCAGGGCTCTGATCAGAAGTAAAGAGGAATTCAAACAGAAGTACATTCCCCTAAGTATCAGATAGATAATCTTCAGTTGTTCTTAATATCTGCCATGATATTTTGATATGAAGCAACAACTACTTGCCTTATTTTTAAGTTTTGAATAATTTAAGTTTTCTGTTTTATCATAATTTATATTGATTATTTAGAAGCTTATCTCATTGTAATTTTGTGATATTTTGCTTTATTAATTGACATAGGTGCAGTAAGAAGGATCAATTAATACACATAAGGTTCCTTGTTATGTATGTAATCAGATGTCTAGAGTTAGATTGTATTAAACAACTACTAAGGCCATTAAGTTAGGGTCTAGAGATTATTTAGGTGTTTCTTTTTTGGTGATACTGGGGATTGAACCCAGGGTTGCTGTACCACTGAACTATGTCCCCAGCCCTTTTATTTTGAGACAGGATCTTGCTAAGTTGCTGAGGCTGGCCTTAAACTTGCAATCCTCCTGCCTCAGCCCCTGGAGTAACTGTGATTATAGGCATGTGCCACCACACCCACCTAGAGTTTCATTTTTAATAGTACCTACCATTTCAGAGATCTTTTACTTACAAAATAAGAAGTTAATTTCCATAGTATTTCACTTATATCTTTATAAA